TGGTGCACGTTCGCTAGTAAATAGATACTATAGATACCTAGTACAAGTTATATTTATAGTATAATAGATCTAGCTACCATGTCAATCCTATTGAGGTAGGTACGATTTGTTATCGTCACGTATTATTACTAAAACCTTTTATTTGCTTTGTATCGGTACATGGATTTGAAGTAATCCGGATTTGCACCTGAATGAAAGACGGGCGTTTTACATAAAATAGGGTAAGTGCAACAGTTATAATCTTAAGGTGATATCGAATGTTAAAAATATTGTCCGCCTGTTTCTGAATTGCAATGTTCCAACTAATGCATACTCATATTCTTATTAATACATTGGGAAAAACAAGGTAACAATTCATAACTATCTTCTATTTTTTACAAGAATACATATTTTAAAAACATTAAGGTCACCTTTAACGTACATTTTTACCGTAAACAACATCAAAATGCAGGTTTTCAAGTTATCTAAAGCTACTTTGATAAGATTAACTCTATGAGTTTTTATATATATCTTTCATTATCTCAGCCAGTAAATGTTTACTGACATGCCTACTTACTAAAAAAGATAACATGGTACTTGCATTTAATCGTCAATCTAGTTTGTTTTCCTACAATCTAATACGTTCTTTTTATGCACCAAGGACTCGTTAACTGATTTTAATCAATAACATTGCATTATTATATCATTATATTATTAATTTAACTATTTATTTTAAGACGATGCATTTATCTTGATACGTTAAGGATTCATAAGTTTTGACTGCCAATAAATTGTGGTAGTGTTCAGATTTAATGTTTTTAATTTTCATCAATGATTTTTTTATGAAATGAAGAGATTACTTTATTATAAATATTATATCTCGACCCGAGATCCCGATTGGTTTCTGTGCTCTTTTATGCACACACAGGGACAGGATCATAATTTAACTTCCTCTATTTTTAACTGTTTATATTATATTAAAATCTTTATTTTAAGGGGATACTTTAAAGGAAAAACCACTCTTGTCTATCCGTCTTAACAGTCTGTCACGACTTTTTTTTATAATGGTTATTAGTTAGGAACCTACAGAATTTCAGTGTAGTAATTTCTACATACACCCTTTCTTTTTTATGAACGGGAAACGGAAACCAGCTGCGCGGCGAAGCGCGGTTAATTTTTGAAACCGCTGCAAAATTGCATTTTTGGGGATGCACTAATTTGAGGAGTGCACACTTGATACTTGCAATAATAGTAGGTGGTTTCATTGGCGTTATTTGCTTTTCAAAATGAAACATCATAATGTCTTATTTTAGATTGTTTTTAGATTTTATATATGTATAAAACTAACATGTGTTAGGTGTAATGCTAATTAAATATAAAAAGTATAACAAATTGTTTTCTTTAGAAAATTGACACCAATATGCATAATGTATCGTGTTTCTTATATATGTAAATATTTTCGCAAAATATAAATTTGATAACAGAAACATTTAAAATGTACTTAAACCTAAAGGTAAAAGTATCAAGCATGTATCTTTCGGAGTACGTAGTTTAATACAATACGAATTACGTTCACGCAAAAAATGCGGCATCCGTTGTTTTTGGATGCAAATGGTAACATGAAGCGTGGCTTTCCACGGAAATGGATTGTACAAGTGCCAGGTGCTTCGTTTAGCTTTTTTTGTTAACTGTTTGGACAATAGAGGGACGTAATAGGAACAGAAACAAAGGACCGGCAGGTTATAGGATATATTAAATATATGACCAATTTATTATAAAACTATAAAATAATACACAATAACTCTACGAAGTTTAGCTTCGTCGTGCTTTCATTTCTATTTTTAACTTTACAATTTTGTTAAAATACTAGTTTTAAATTTAGGGAAAAATATATTTTACCGTTTTAGAGATGGGAACCCGCTATTTGTTAAATATTTAGTTCTTGTCTGACAGCGGAGATACATTTTGAAGAAATATAGAATAGACTCCCGTGAATGCCATGTGATGGAACTACAAAAAAGTAAAAGCTCCAAAATACCAAAATTGATTAAAAAAACCGACGTCTTTTAAATACAATTTTAAATATTAATAGATGATATACAGTATATTTTAGTAGCACAGCTGTCTAAATCAATGGTAAACGAAATACTTTGTGTTTGGTATTCATGATAACTTAGCTGCATCATATTCATTAGTTTTCATGTTCTTGTAGTTTTCATAGAAAGAAAGCAGATCTCGCAATATTGACTTTTAATGAGAACACTCATAATGGAAATATATTAATTTTGTTATTAAGAGGCGAAATCACATCTAGACAACGTAAATTTTGCCATAACTAACAACTTCGAACTGCAAATAAATTTGTTTAAACATTGTTTTAATTATTGTCAATAGCTATTGGTCTTACAGTAAAGATGGCATCTTTATTGTAAATATTACAATTCTAGGTAAAAAGAAAGCAGACCGCGTAATATTCATATTGACTTGGAATTAGAACATTCATAAGGGAAGTATATTAATTTTGTAATTTAGAGGTGAAATAAAATCCAGACAACGTAAATTTTGCCATAACTAACAATTTACAACTGCGAATAAATTTGTTTAAGCATTGTGTTAATTATTTTCAATCGCTATTGGTCTTACAGTGAAGATGACTCATCCGTATTGTAAATATTACACAGTAGGTATTAATTAGTAACGTAAACAGACCAACACGTAATGAAGTGAGCTGCAGCTCAATGAGCTGTTGACGGGTTTTATTGTAAATATTTTGAATACCATTAAACCTACGGTGTGATACTTACTATACGATTTAAAACATCTTCAATCCTAAAGGAATAGTCAATTTCTGAATAATTTCGAATAAGTACGGATTACAAATATTTACTCAGATAACTATAGGTATATAGGTAGGTATGAATGGATAAAGCCTTACGGGTTAAGGATTCTCAAGTTACTTTGTTTATAATGCTAGTACGTATTTGCAAAAGCAAAATAATATTTTAAAGCATATAGTTTTTATATAATGCACACCTAGTTGTATGTTTGTAAGTAGGTAATATAAATTAAGAATATTTCTAAAATATTTAATAATATGTCAATATTTTAAGTTTCGAACTTCGTTTCTTCTGATCTGTTAAATATTTTTTTATTTATTTTCACAACGCTCTCAATAACGAACACAAGCTTTTCATAAATGATCATTTAAGATATTATTTTACAGTACTTTTATAGGTTTATTGTTGTCGTGTAAATGTTATTTGGTCCTATGTTGTGTGCAATAAAGCAGATTATTATAACTATATACCAAGTACAAAATAAATAAAATTTTAAATAACGTATATAGGTGCAACTAACATCTTATCAAAATAAATAAATAGCCATGTAGAGTCAGCCGGTTTACGAAACCCGTCTAACGCAGCTCGGCAACCCGTTCCCGCCAATTAAGCCGGCTATTCGAAACGATATAAACAACGAGACTTGCATTTTAATAGAACCACTATAAAACCTTTTAACAAGGCATTTCTATTTTATGTACCTATATTAAAAACAGCATTTCTATTTTGTACAAAATTTAGAATGATAATGACAATAGCAACATTTGATATCCATTCCCAGCATTAGCGGAATTATTAGAATTGCATAATATAATATTATTATTATAGCAAACAATAAAGTTATTATGTTTATTAGATTTTTATTACGGTAGATATAACTATTCAGAATTACTATTTAAACCCCATTAAGTTTTTAAAAATCATATAGTTTAGATACGCTACATACACCCGATGATATTATATGGGCAATCAATAGTTGCTTCAAAATGGATTGTACTGAAATTTAATTTATCTTGTTGAGAAATCTACCTGCTAGCTGTATACACACCTACTTAGCAATTGACATTGTTGAATGTAATGTATATAACGTGAAACTGCCAATTTGATCGGTTTACGTCCAAAAAACTTTTTTTTCGTCCACCTGCTGCCCAGTTTTTATCTCCTTTTAAGGCGATGATTTTCAATGAAATACGGAACACATCTTACATAAATTGTTAAAGAGTGTCAATGCAAAATTTGAAGTAGATCGGACGAAGGAATTACTGAGTCCCATACAAACATTGTCCCCGTTTTTCACTCCCTAAGGAATAGAATTTCGGGAAATAATTTCATACCGGATGATTTCATACAAAAAACACACAATAAACTACTTTTTTTTATTGATTCTTTATTTAATTTTATAAAAGTAGCTATAGAAAAATGAGTTACTTATAAAAAAATCTTGTGTACCACTGTTTTCCTTAATGCTTTCTAAATATACTTGTTAATGTTTTTTTTTTTAAAGTTCCATGAATTTTAAGACAACCAAGCATTTTTCATTAGACGTGCCTTCCCACCTTTCGTCCACCTGATCTAAAACTGGATATTTAATAAAAGGTAGTCCCTTTAATAGTTCAGTAATGAAATTTACATTAAAGTCTAATTCTTCCACATAAAAGAGTTCATGAACTAGCTCCAAAACGATAAATATATCAAAATTACCCAAGAATAATAGGAAACTCATCATCAAAGTATTGGCACCATACTATTTTTTTTTTGCTAAATATGACGCGATTGACGCTGTCCGCTGTGCAACACTCAGATTGGTGTGGGTATATAATGGTAATCAGTGTTTAAGTTTTGGACACTTGAGTACACCAACATTACTATGTTTTTTATCTATTTAGAAGGGAGATCCGTTTGAAGGACAAAAAGGGGAGGTGGACGGCAAACAGGCGCCCTACTTACCTAAGTAGTTTGTTATTTTGTGGTACCTGATTGATAAAAGGCTAAGTGTATCTATTAAAAATTGCAAGTTTACCTACTTGTTTCTGTCATCAGAAAGGGAAACTGGGTTTACACATATTTCATAAGTATTTTTATCAGGTAAAATAAATATATTAATTAAATTTGTTTACATTTATTTGGTTAAAATAGTATCTCAAAAAGAAAAATTATATGAAAGTTAATATCAATGTATCTTACCTGATCCTGTCAGAAATTATTTCTGGTTTGGAGTGTCTTTTGGCTGGAGTGACAGCATGTGAAGGGGCATGTGTCGGACTGGCAGAGGGCTCAGAAGGGGCAGATGGCGGCGAGCAAGACCCAGAACTGGATAAACTGAAGGCTCGTGAACGTCCATCAATCGCAGCCGGAGTTCTTCCAGATCTTGTCCGTCTACGGCGCTTCTTCTCTTCCTCTGCCCTAATAGCAGCGCCGGGTGGAGCCCAATCGAGATCTTTTTTCAAGTGGCCGCGGCCACACCGGCAGCCGCACGCTTTGAACGCCAAATCGTATCCCTTCTTTGTCCATAGATTCTGGTGACGCTGCCTCTCAGACCAGGATCGTGCACGGCCACAAGACTTGAGATAAGCCAGCACGCCTCCTTCCCATTGTTCGAAGCACTCCCTGTGCATGTATCTGCCGGCAGCGCACGTGTCGTTGTTGCATAGTACGCGAATTGCATCTTCAATACGGACCGCCTCTCGGGGCCGGAGGCACTCGCCAGGAACACAACACCCTCGAGTGTCCTCAGCCTCACGCTCGCCGGTGGCGCCTTGCCGGCGCGGAGCCATGCCAACGAAATCGAACGTGCCGCGTAAAGTAGTAGAGCGCGTCACGCGAAACACATGCTTGCCGGAGCGCGCGCGGCCGACTAATAACCGGGAGTGAACGAAAGCGAAATTTCAAGAGCGCAGCGCGTCGCGCCGCGCCGCCGCGCCACCCGCCTGCACGCGGGGCTGACCTTGCGGCGCGCGGGGGCGCGGGGGTGCAGTGAGGGGCGGGGCGATGCGACCGGGCCCCGGGCACGCCGCGGCGCTGCGCCGGTCGTCCGGCGGTGGGGAGAAAGTGCCTAGCGAATTTTCACTTTCGCGAGGTAGCGGCAGCGGCAACGACAGCGGCGTTTTGCGGCAGTCGATGTGGCGGCAGTTGCATTGCACAACAGCGCAGTTGTTTCGATGGTATCGATACACTAAGAAGTAGCCCTCCCAATTTAGAAATCCCTATTTGGTATCACATCAACAATCCTATATTTATGAACCATAATGTACAATAATGCGTCTGCTTTTGGTATCTCATTGATAAATAAAAAAAGGAACCAAAAATTTAAATAAAGATAAACCCAAATAAAATTAATTTTCTGGGCCAGATCTGATTTGTTGATATCAACTGTTGCTTTATGAAGGCTTTGAACTTGCGAAGGTTAATGAAACAGTAGCAACGTTATTTATGTGACAAATGAAAGTTCAGAAAATACTAGTAGCAATATGCATAAATAAACAGTCAGCCATAGACAATACAATAATAAATATTAGTATTATTTCAAATTACTGATATCACAAACCTATTTTATGTTGATATCATATCCGTGAAAAATATTTATGTCATTCATTACATACAAAGTAATTTAGCAAATACAACAACTAATTTTAGATAACAGAAGGTACAACGTGACTTGAGACAAGTAGACAACTCAAATGGACTGGATGACATATTAATGATTCATATTTTACTCTGTAACTCACAATTAAGGATGTTGTAAATATTAATGTTGCATCGAAAAAATTGAAAAAATATTCGGCGGGAATGGACGTTGGTGCCCACCACGAATTAGAACAGCGGTTTTTCTATAGTAAAACCAGGTCTACTGACCCCTAGAACTCCCTACCACCTTCACCTTAGTATAGTCTTTATTATATACAACACATTACCATAGGAAAGTAAATACAATATGTAGCTTTTATCGCGTATTATACAGTTTATTAAAGGAAAGCACCAAGACCTTTTTGAAGGCGGACTCGAACAATAATAAAAAATACTATTTAGATGATGAATATGCCGTCTTATCGCTAAATAACTTAATATCTTCCTATTAATAATAAAAATTAATAAGCGTTGTTCCGAAACTTAAAAAAATTAGGTCTCAGTTATTAAGAACTCATTTATAACTTGTCTATAAAATAAAAAGTACCTGGTGAGGCGGCATGTAAATAGCCGAGAATGTAGTTAGTTATGAACTTAAAGAAAAAATGTATAGAAGATTAGATTGTTCCTAGAGTACATGCGATAAAACTCTGATACACAATCGAGAGTAGGTACCGACTTATGTACACCACCGGGACTCGAACCTTCGACTGCTGTCTGTCCACAATTAGTACGATCTTCTGTTTTGCGGGAATCGTATTTAAAAATATAGAAATTTATGCGGTTCGATAATTATTTTCGGTAAAAAAATGTTGCGGTTAAAAAAATAAATGATATAATAAGTTTCTTCATAATGCCGTCATGGCGTATGAGCGGCTAGCGGTGAGTTTAGAAACGTAGTGCAACCTGATTTTAGGTTCGTAGCGCCGGCAGCGGCGACACAGAACGACAGACCCCCGAAAGCACACCAGATATTAGTATATTAATAAGTAAGTGCAAAATACTTACAGTTGTAGAGGCTTCACCAGTAGATATTAATAAGAGAAGAATTTAATTAAATATTAATTTCAAAGTAACCTAATCTATCATTATTGACAAAAATCATTCGAAATACGTTCATTTTATTAGTTTTTTAATACTTCTTTTACATAATTCAATTAATAAAATAGATATATTCACATTTTGTATATGTGTTTAAGTATGAAAAGGCAAAAAACTATATTTGATATCGAATTAAGGGTCTTTATTTACGCAGTACAAAACTATTTTTGTGTTTATTCCACAAATTCTTAACAGGATTCGACTCTGATACATTAGTTTTTGTTTAATAAATGTATAGATACAATAAAAAATTGTAATCAGTACACGACTCTTAATATTGTATTCGATATTGTAAATCATATTCACGTTTTTATCTCATATGTTTAACCAAACATTGGAGACAGAAGAAAAATATGTTTATACTTTTACGCACACGTTACTTATGAAAGGTATACCTTAGCTAGACCAATTAGGATTGATTTGTCCAATCCTAGACCAATACTGATTGGTCTGCTGAGTGTTGACCTGTCAGGATTACAGATCTATTGGGGTTTGATTTTGACAGATCAGTCCTGGCCTCACTGACAATTAGTATTTTATTTTTCAATCTTGACGCTCTGTATGAAATAAAACAGGGAAAAAAACAGCCCTTGACGAGTCTCTTGGCGGTTCTTCTCGGTACAAGGTCTCCCGCCGTAGATATACGAACCGATGGCGTAGCTCTCGACTTTCACAAGCCTAGACTGAATAAATGACCTCGATTTGATTTAATTAAAATTACTGATTTGACTGAAAACAAAATCGTCAAAAATATTTCGGACGTCACAAGATGGCGATACATGTATCGTATCACGGTTATGTAGATTTTTTTTTAAATATCCCTATTAGTATGTAAGTGAGCACCGCAATTCAAGGCCATAAAGTTTTTATGCTAAACATCTTTTATTATTTCATGGGATTATCTTCCCAGCAACGAATTCCAAATATATATATATATATTTGCAGTACACAGCCGCCGTGTATAAATTTAAATTACTTGGATTACAACAGATTGCATCAAACAACTTATTTAATTCATGTAAATATTATATATTGATAGCGTACAATTACTCGTTTCTGTTGCAAATGTTTGTCACTAAATGCACAATGCATTTGCATAATTTTTATTTAGTTGTCATCGATTTGATTGTAAACATTTTAGTGTTGTGATATTTTTGTGGGATTGATAACACTACTAGGAAAAATTATGGTTTCTTTTCAGGTAGAAAGGCAAATACCGAAAGAAAAGCATGTGCGGGGCATTTAGGAATAGGATGGAAGGATTTAGGAAACACAAATGAGACGAAAAATGACATGATTAAATACACTGCCTTTTGGCCTAGTTGGTTGTGATGTCTGGTTAGTGGTAGTCACTAACGGGGGAGCTTACTGTCGTTGATGACGAGGTCTTAACAGTTATAGGTTGAACATCATCTTTATACTAATATGAATGTTACCAACTCTAAAGAACAGATCTTCCCTATGGAAAATAAAACAGTGAGAATGGGCCACTACTCTGGCCCAGTATTAATTGGTGGATGTCAACAATTACAGAAATAGTTGGAACTAACTATTCAATCGATGATGTTTTTCGATATGTTAAAAATTAGCGCCAGATTTTAGTTAATTTACATAAAACCCTAATGAATTTTAAATTCTATCTGGTGGAAAACAAATGAAAGTAAAAAATTAATTCGTTAGTTTTTGTGTTTATTAAGATCAAACATTATATTTGTGTTTATTAATTATACCAAGGGAGCACTTTATTTCGATGTAGTGCATCTTCCTACAGATAAAATCAACTGTCAGCAGACCAATCAGAATTGGTCTAGGATTGGACAGATAAATCTTGATTGGTCAACTGACAGTTGAAGTACTGAATGCTGTTCAGGGCTTCAGCAGACAATGGAAGGATTCAGTTTGTTAGATCAATCGGGATAGTTACACGGTAGAGTTGAAGGACCAATCAAATTACAGGTTCAAATCAAATCAAAAATCAAATTACAAAAATAAGAAATTTCCAGAAAAATAATAAAAGTACCTATCAGAAATGGTACAGAAATTAATGTGACTAAACTTTGACACATTATTTGAATCTCAGGTCCGTTCAAAGTTCCTCGCTCTTATCTCCGTAGCTCTTTGACTGAAAATTTAGTGAAAAACAATAATTATCTATAAATGAAATAAATTTTTTCGGTTTCATCGCGTTTGTATTTAGTTTTAGGTGTTTTGGACCCTTTTCAGGTGCGTTTAAAAGTTATTTAGTTTATAGATAGTGCGCGTGAAAATAGAATGAATCAATAAATAATTATCTTTATAAATTACTAGCTATTTTCACGCGACTTCGTTCGCATAAATTATAGCCTATGACACCGTGTGTGATATAGTTTCCAGTAGTTTCGGAGCCTATTCGATGCAAACAAACGAAACAATCAAAATTTTTCCTCTTTATAATTTTAGCATAGACAATAATATCTAAAATAAGTGAATATTTCTAAATTTATTTACCTATACAGGGAACCTTCAATGTGCGAGTCAGGATCGTAATTGGTCGATTTTTTAACTTAATCATGTAAGAAAAAGAGCGTTGAAGATAAAAATCTATTTAAGTAGCTTTATCATAAAAAAGTACAGGATTTTTTTTCTAACTGGCTGCTAGTGTTATCGTACAGCATTTGGGTAAATATTTAATGAAAACGCCGCAATGAAAAATATGTCATATAAATAATTAAAACAACACACACCTATTTGATAGTCGATGAAAACACGTTTTCGTGTACTACCAAAGATAGAAACATCTGTTTATGGTACTTGTTCGATAGTACTGCATTCATGTGATCAATAACACAGCTTATGATGTATTTAGATTCTCATCTATTTATATTTCATTTTAATCTAGATAGAAATTTAAATTAAATAAACAAAAGATAACTTTTATTCAACTATTCATATTAAGTTTTTTTTATATGTCATTTTTTTGTATCATTAACATTGATTTAACATGACATTAGGTAAATACTATTACAGGTTAAAATCACGTAACATTGCATTGACTTCGATTTAGTTACCATCGGATTTAATCAAAATGCACTTTTAACGTTGTATTGCTAGATACATTGTATACGTTCAATACATCGGCTTAAATCAAAAGCACTTA